AATTGTGGAACTTTAGCTTCCTAGATTTTCCTAGATTTCTCTAGACTCTTCCAGTGGAAGAATCTACTGGTATCAATATCGCGCAACGGAACAGCAAGACAGTGCCCTTCCGGTCAGTATAAATATACGACACGTGTGATGACCGCGTTGCGATGAGACTATCAGGCTATTGATAGTCTATCAATACCCGGTGATAGTATCACCCGGTATTGATCGTCCTTCTGCTGAACTGGAGAACGCAATAACAAACTCGTTGGATGATGTCAAACAAATCCGCTGTTGATATCTCGGATTAAATGGGATCGGCAACATTCGGATTTACCGTATATTTGAGTAAATATTTGAAATGCCAGTAAAGCTGGGCTTAAGAGGTGGACAAAAGGCAGAAGGATAAGTGACCACTATGGGATAGAATTCCCAATCGAGTATGAAGTCAAATGTGAGCAGCTCGAGCCTTTTAGCGTCTCAAAATGGGATAATCGATCGCCATATTGACAGCTTTTAGCGGGTTTAGAGCTCCGGCATGCTTCCTCATGGGCCTCGACGGGCTACCGAACCGATCAACATTGTGGGTGAGTATCCCAGCAACGTACTTTGGCTTAACGCCCATAGAAAGCAAGATCGCGGCTGCTCCAGAGACAATAGGACAGGCGAAAGATGTGCCCGAGGAAAATCTGTCAGCACCGGTGTAGATTCTAGAGCCATAGGCAGCTATATCGACGTTATCACCGTAGTTGCTAAAACCAGCCATTTCAAGAGTGTCCTGGTTCCTGAGAGCACCCACACAGATCACGCGTGGCAGCGAGCATGGATAGTATGTGTCAGCCCGCTTCCCACTGTTACCAGCGGAGGCGACAACAACGATATTCTGGTCAGTTGCTGCTTTGAAGCAGGGTGTCTGAGAAACTTTCCACAGAAACTTTCGCAGAAAATTTCCGTGAAAGTTTCCAAATTTTTCCGCGAGTGAAATTTTTCAGGAAACTTTTGCTGAGTGTGCATTTTCGACGTTAGAGACCTCTTATTCATCTCATACAGCCTCATGATTGTTAGAATGAAAGAGTCGCTTAGCTACTCTGACCCAGCATGTCTCGAATAAAGGAAATACCTCGCTTCATGTTAAAACGTCAAGTACTGGGCGAAGAATCTCGATTTAGCCAGACCTCTTAGAGAATAATTGTTTCACACTAGATTACTCAGTATGTCTTCCATAGGTGGGCAGTCTTTCGCGGGCCCTGGCGAGGCGAGACAGTCAGGGACTCTGATCCAACATGGAATGGCAATGACATTACCATTGTCAGCTGATGATCGGCTCGAAATGAGCCGCTCAATGTATATTCTAGACTGAGCATCCCACTTCTACAATATAGAATCTTTCCAATGAAAGTTT